ACCTTTCTGATACTGATATATAGAATCCCATAATTGATATAGAAATACCACAGGTCTTGACATCTTACGATGAAAACTCAGTTTTTAGCCACATATACAACTAGAAAATACCCAATTGTTACATGCAAAAGCTTGAACACATTAGAACCATTCTCGAGAGTCATTTACTCTATTCAAACTGCAATTAGCCTGATCAAACGAACAGAACCACCCGTGCCTCAATAGCACTCCAACACTGCAGAGTGTAACCTCATCCTAGAACAACCAAGCAACTTCCTGCTCTATGCACCGAGCATCCTTTACCAACAACAACTCAAGACATTCCGTGATTCTCATACACCTACGAGGCATAACATAACCTTTTCCTTTACCCAAGACATCCTCGATCTCAAATCTTGGTAAGCCATAACTGATTCACCCGAACGCCTCAAACTGGAACCAATATAGCACATAAATGTGCAATCAACTAATCAATAGCAGACTCCCCCACTTGGCTCGAAGCCATAGATCAAAACACACACAATAACTCATAATGCATATACCATATTACTGCCATAATACCATAGTGAGATTAAACTCAATCTTTCATAAACTCGTGAAACACCGACCATCTAGTACTTTAAATCTTCCGCAAATCTTGCACTCACTCCCGTGACAGTTAGACCCACTCTCTTAAGCGACCCTTAAATTGAAACACATATACTTCACTTGTGAAAGAGATCTTCCAGCAAACAACATAAGGAGCACACAAACATCAGAACACTCCGCATGAGATAACCCATCTGCTTCGCCTCAAACTAACATTTCTATATACCTTCCACCGTCACAAACATTACGCAGTCACTTACTCTTCCTGAGTCTAAACTCATACCGCAACATGAAATTTACTTCACTCCCAACTAGGAAACATGAAAAGATTCTTCACACACCCATAACTCGGGGCTATACCTTAAATCAAGATGGAAATCAAGCACCTAATAGTTCTTCTATCCTCCAGCAGACACTTCTCGTCGCTTCCAAATTATATGAATACATCTCGCAGTCGTAACACTCATCGCATAGTCATCCATCCATCACTTCTACTAATAGGGACACTACCGAACATATAAGTTCAAAAACACGTGCTCACACAATCAGCACCTCGATGCTTAAACTATAAGCAAAAATCCGGCCTCGAGTCCTCCAGAATGTCCCAACATCAACACACAGAGATCACATCTCGCCCCTCGATCAGGGAATCACAAGCCATCGATGCACATCTGATACCGAGCGCTCATGCGTGCATACGAACGCGTGGAAGGAGTTGAAAGAGTTACCTTTCAAGCTGAATCAAGGACCACGATAAGAATTCAACAATGTGATGTTTTTCCTAAAGTTCTACAGCCTCTCGAGGATAAATACAAACATCTC